CCATTTGCTCCTCGATGTGAGGGCCGTCAGAAACTACAAGAATTTGAGGATAATACAGCAGCGTAGTTGGGTAGGGTTCAGAGTTGAGATGCTTCTCAATCGTAGCAGTCTTTCACTGCATGCAAGATATCGAAACAGCACTGCTTATTCAAGAGTCTGCAGAAAGTGCTCGTTAATTTTGTCCCCTCAGAGCTGCTTGGCAGGTCAGTTCGCCAAACACGTTCGACCGCGTTTCACTTATCGACAGATTGGACTCCGTATGTGGGGTTGAAGGCGTCGCAAGGTGGATGATGCAGTGCTAATGGCAAAAAATCAAATACCAAACTTGCTTGGTTCAGAGAAACACTAGAAATAGACGTCCGAATCATCAACAGAAATACACTTCTGTGACTGTAAAATGGTTGCAGGGGCTTGTGGCTTCCTGCAAATATTTATCATGCTGCCGAAGGCGGCTTGTGACACAACAGTGGAAGGCTGACGTGTCCAACGAAGATGTAGTACCAAAGCCGGCGAAGGTTTACAAAGTAGGCTTGATCTATTGCTCGGTATCCTGATGGGATATGTGAAGACCTATAGCTTTCAATGCAAGTCAGCAATCATGCTGTTAGGGCTTTGTGGTACTTTCTGCGCTCCAGCGCCAGACATTGAGCTGGGCATCCCACATCTTTCATTCAAGCCTCTCAGCACATGTCCAGATGAATGATGTGAGTACTAACATTATAGCAGTTGTGAGAGCAATAGTGGCAAGCACAATGCCGACATTTGGAGCTATGATGTCTGAAAGACTGGGAACCCAACATCTTGGTTTCACGGGCCCTGGCTCTGGAGCAATCTTCATGGGAGCAGCCCTCCCATGCAACATGGCTCCTGTTTCGAGATGTATCACGCGAGCGGTTGTGTGCGTTTGTTTTACTTGAGTTCAAACGTGATAATAGTCCATGGGGCACCTGTCCTGAACCGCTCGTTTCTGAAAGGCGCTCTGCAAAATAGCTTAGCGCCCTTCAGCTGCTCCTGCAACCTTGAGCACAGGACGCCTCAAAACCTACCAGCAGCTTAACAATCCAGAACGGGGTGTTTCAACATACACGTCTCGCAGCACATTGCGCAACACCGGGCTGTTGCCAAATGCTATGTAAGACAGGACTTGAGTAGAGACATGATTGGCTACTCTCCCAGCAGTGTTTTTCAGAACTCTATTCTGAAACGCAGGTTTTTGCTTATTGCTAGTGTCAGCACAAGGTTCCAGGATTGTTTTCTTGGTGCACGAACGCACGGTGAAAGGTCTTGAATGGTCTTGCGTGGATTGCCGGGATGGGCTAGACACAATTTAGTGTGTGCGCGAAAGACCGCTCCCACTAACTATTTGTGAGTGTAGCCGACTTAGTGTAACTATTCTGCGTCATCAAGCTTTTTGAACTGCGGGTCCAACGAGAAGGAAGTGGCAGGTAACCTAGGCAAAACCTGGGGGAATGTATAGGTGTCTCCCCAAACGTCAAAAAAAGTAGTGACGGCTCAGTTGGAGGAGACTTGTGTGCTATCGGTGGATCGACCGGTGAGGGAAATTTCCATCACCCCTAGTCGCAGGCAGCCAAAGTCACTTGAATTGTGAGTCGTGTGGCGAACTCAATGAACAATCAGATGACGAGTGTTATAGGAAGTTGCATATATCATTAGCAGCACGCTGCATGGGATAGTTTGAGTCGCTCAAGTAAAGGTCCAATGCAATGTTTGGCCAATGCAGCTCGACGCCCTGAGACTGAGATAACGGCAAGACCGCCACAGGCAACAGCTCAAGCCATGAACGAAATTCTGAGGTCTCACGTAAGCTTAGGGTGTAACTTTCGAGAAGGCGGTGTCCAGTTCGTGAGACCTGGAAGATTTCTTCCTGCCAGCACTCGCCACGTTCCCCTCATAGCTCTGACTGCTAACCCCTGAAGCAATCCAGACCTGTCATTTCAAAAAAGCAGGCTTCCAAAAACTCGAGTTTCCAGGCCGTTCCTGCCACCAGGACAACATGGGCAACAGTAAACCCAGAAAAGTACTGTTGAACCCAGAAAAATGAAGCATGCAGCTTTGGTTCAATTACTGATCATTACCACCAGAACCAGGGTGCCAAACGAATCCCTGTAAACCGTATACGTATATAATCTCCATGTAACCCGTACGGTTATCTAACCCCTATATAGTCCCCAATCTCCAGCCCAGTACCCACCAATATCGCACCCCCAACCTTGCGTGTAATCCCCTCCCCTAATACTAAAAACCCACCCCCCCCCTAGTATAAAATGCTCCCGATATGTTACCGTATAACACAATGGGAATATTGTGCAGGGTTAGTACTTGGAAATTAGTGACAACGCAATGATGCTAGTTGCATGTGGCACTCAGAGTATGCTCCTTTGTTGATCCTCGGATCATCTCGCTGCAATCTCCAAAATTGGCCAACGCAGCTTCAACACATGAGATTTTTTTAGACACAGGCTATTGGCTTCTTTGCTTACTGATGGTTAGTAGGGAATAAGGGAATATAATCCCTACATAGTTCCTATATAGTATATTCCTGTATTCCCTACTGAGAACCCGTAAGTTTAACTTTTGCGGCAATGATGATTGGGTTCTTCTATCTTCAGGTATATTGTCAGGGCGGACTGTCAGAAAGCGAGCGTACACAAAACCCGTGATAGCGATGAGGCTTTATGGTTTAGGCATTTGCGTAGTTCTTGCAGAATCAGTAGCTTCCCTTCTCCATGATATACCCGATTATAAGATAATAGTTTCCATCTTCTTTTCCATTATATACCCTATCAAAATCAAGTAGGCCTGAAACCCTAATCAAACCTTAAACCTAGACCCTTGTGTTGATGGAGTCGTGCAGGGGAATACATGCCGCTGCTTCACTGCTGCCTGCGAAGCGGGCATGGAGAAAATGAGAGCTCACAAGGTCGGAGCAGCCTTTGCAGAGAAGACGAGGTTGGGCTTTGCGAGTCTAATCTGGGGATTATATTATCATCTAAACTCCTTAAAGGGGGGTATGATATAGGGGATTATACAGGGAATTACTGTAGGGGTTATTAAGGGGGATACTAGGAGTTTAGAGTGTGGCTCGGGATGCTTTGGCCAAGACGCTGGCGATTGCACAAGTCCAGCAGCAAAAAAGAGTGTGGCTCATATGTGTATGGGTCGTAGACGGGGAAGCATGGGGATCATGTCGAGATCTCGGTGAGGTTCAGCTGTTACAACTGGTAATTTAGGTCAGGTTGTGAGAGGCAAGCATGGCGAGGACTCTGCCCCAGAAAAAGGAATGCAAACAGTGCCAACATGTCCTTGAAAATCATCCACTACAATTTCATAAGGGTGGCTGTCAAAATTATGATCCATTTTTGGGTGCTCTAAATCTTAGCTGCCGTATTATGGTTGGGATCCAAAAAAGGACTATAATTTTGGCAACCACCCGTAAGGAGTTGCTGAGAAAAAGTCGTAAAGTTCAGGGCCCCTTGTGCTGGAGGCCGTTTGCCCGCTAGGTTGTTCCGATCGGAGCCGCGCCTGCTTCTTGCAGACGGCCGCTGTATATCGAGCAGATGGGGGTTTCCCAAAATCAGGGCTAAAGGGGATTATAGTATTTTGGGGTTCATATTTGATCCCCGTATTTTGGGAAACGACCAGATCTTCCAGAAGCTATTTGCGCAGACCAAAAGCATGGTGACGAAATATCGATGTGGTCGACAAATTGGATACGTAGTAGCCGCTTCCGGTTCAACCGGCCAAGTAATTCCAACACTAGAAACGAAGGAACGGAAAGCTGGCAAGAGCCATATAAGCAGACCCACATGCCTTGCAAGGGATCCATTTACAATGCCTCGTAAACTCTACCATATATATATATATGCATATGCTTGCTCGAGATCCCCCGTGTGCGGTTTAAGCCCGGAACCCCAAAACTCCAAATCCAAAACAAACCCTTCAAACCCAAACCATGAAAGCGCAAGCTCGGAAAAGCTGCTCACTCCCGTGTGGCCGAAGATGCCACTGCTCGGAGCATGTCAGCAGCCCAGCGGCAGGGGTTGAAGCGTGAAGGGGTTTAGGGTTTAGGGGTATGTGGTCTGTAGGGTTCAGGGTGTGATCATGGGGAGTCAAATGGAGGAAAATGAAATGGAGACGAGCTTACGGGTGAAGACGGGTATAGGGGTGGTCGGGGGGCGGGGGGGGGGGAGGGTTAGGGACCTAATATACTGATGAAGACAAGTCGGAAGTGACCTGGATTCTGCAGGAATATTGTAGTGACTTGACATGGTGCTACAGGTATGCAAACGACTTCTCCAGGTCATTACTCCGGAGAATCTCAACTAACTTCAGCAATCAGATCAGGCGCGACGGTATGAGAGGTTCTGATGGGGAGTACAAGCACAGGCAGTGAACATCAAAATGCCATGGGCTTCGGACATCAAGACGAGACGACTCGGGAGCTTGAACCGCGAAGCCAAAAAAATCCTGTCACCCATGCTGTGAACACGTATCGATGCCTGGCTGTTCACATTATAGCTCCTGGACATGAGTTGGAAAATTGCGTAGGTGAACTCAGCTCAGCTGTCTCAGCAGCTCTGCCATAAATGCACTGCCCTGGCATTTGGCTCCGTAGGCCTCGAAACCCCTCGAAGGCCTGCTTCTTGTTTGAGATCTTTCATGGGAATTGACTTGCGTACTCACAAAGATGACAGCACAGAGGGGAGAAGCCCGGAGGGCAGGTGTGGCAAGATTAGACTCAGACCTAGTTGAGCGCACCAACTCTACAAGAAGCAAGTCTCTGCAGTTGGAAAGACGTGCACGCTTGACTGCAATAGTGGGCCGCGCCACCGCTCATGCACCTCGCCAGCAAAGGGCTTGACCTGCCTCAAATCGGAGACACGGACTGTGACCTGTTCCAGCAAAGATGTGTTTCAACTGGTTTCTTGTGGAATCTCTGCCTGAAGGAGAAGAGAACTTATGTCTCAATGCGCTCTGAGGTACAGGACGGGACAACGAAGCTTGCGGCTCTGTGGTGGGAACCCAAGCATAAGGGTGTGGCAGGCCAACATACAGAGCGTCGAAAGTGCAGGCTTCCCTCAGTGTCGTGTTGGAAGTGTAGACGAGCGAGGTCGGCTGAAATTTCACAAAGGGACCGGCTTCTCGAGGCATTGTGAGCCAGTTTAGTACAGTATTTAGCTGCTCTTGAAGGCAGCCCGGCCCCGCTTAGGCTGGCCCGCATTATGGTCACTGATGTCACAAGCAGCCTCGGGCTTAGCACTCTGGGGACGGTGCAGTTATCCAGCGAAGAACGGTAGCGTTGAAAGGCAGCAAGGCTGCGAAACTGAATGCAGAAGTTCTAATCTTCGTTGAGGCCGCTGGCCCAAGGGGGTAAATTTGGGGCAGCAACAGTCAAGCATGTTTACGTGTATTTCTTCAAACGGCGCTGTTCCTGTGTCAGGTCGCTGACCGACTGCTGTGTGGAGTTGGCACGAACACCTTTGCTGACTGCCCTCAATGCTTGGACCCACGTAGAGATGGGGCTTTGTGCATGTTTCGGAGCATGTAGCATGAGCTACTACAGCGTGCAAGTACTCCTGTACGAGATCACACATGCAAGAGCCCATCAGCATACGTGTCACCCGCACTTCTCGTGCAGGAAAGCAGCATGAATTCGGGTGCCGTCAGCTTTTGGTGGAATTGGGATTATGCACGGGCCCTAGCAAATGCCTGGATGGGACTGACCACCAGCTCTGGAACAAGCGCGCAGCTGGCAATGGATGTAGTGTAGTAGTAGTAGTAGTAGTAGTAGTAGTAAGCGCCACGAGTGCTCGAGACGGGGAACTGGGGACATGCCATGGCATTCAC